AAAGTCACAACAAAATTGTGAGTAAACTGAACCTGGAAATGCTTCTGTCTCAGCTAACAAAATGACATGGTGGACTTGGAAATGACACTGAGGGAAATGCAAATGCAGAATCAGAAGGTGTTTGAATATGTGGGAAAAATGATGGAGAAACAACTTCAAAGTCCTTACTCATTTCCTTCAAATCTTCATGCTGCACTACATGGATATATATGAGCTATAAAAATAGCTACCTCCCAGAGAGTAAGTTTACTTTTTTTTTTATAATTAGCCACATTGGAGCACCAATCTAGACACTTGTGTGTTTGGAGGGAGACTTGGCATCGTAACTGAACAAAACAACGATTCAGGTTTACTCCAGTACTTACTCCTAATGCAGGTCCCAGTATGGCTAAAGACAGAACCTGTACTAGGACTCATAGCTCAATCCTGAGTCTTTTTATTTGTATATGGGAAAAGAAACCCATTCCTCCTAAGCATGTACTGTAAAACTTCCTCTTAAGGCTGGAAGGGGCATTTGCAGTCCATTATTTTTCTCAATAAAGGAACAACTGTTCAAAGCCATTACATTTCCCAAATCCTTTTTTTACAGTGTTTATAGAGAAAGGCCATAAAAATTATACAATAAAATAACTGATCATGGATTCTCTGGGAATGCTGGTATTTTTTCTCTACTAGTTTGTTTGCTTTTTAAACAGTGATGTCACTGAGTTCACTGACACCAGGCATCGTGACTAATGTTTTCCTTATTTTGTCAGCTTGTTCTATTAGAGAAAGTACCTGGGGAAACTGGGGCCATCCCTTTCTGTTCTCAAAGATTATGTTTTTTACTTAGTTGCTACTACATTTGTTATAATATTATAAAGCAAGTCTGAAGAGCTTTGCAAAGACATTAAAACTGATAGAAATCATTCTTTTGCCTATAATGAGGTCAGAATCTGCCATTTAATCCATTGGAATACCGTATACCATCAAAGAGTTTTCTGAATGCAAACTCTCTAATCTCTGTCATTTACAAATAAAGAAGAGATCTGATTTTCTTTCTTGGATACATGCAGTGAAAGGACATATATGCAGACATATTAAAACAATATCGGAAAATCCAGAAACAGGTTACATCTTTTAAGGCTATTCTCTGTATTTAAATGGTTGTGGATAGGTAATATTAAAACATGCGCTTGAACAGAATAGAGATGGATCCATGTCAACACACAAAAATGTTTAGAATGCTGCTTCTTAGCAAGGTAACATTCATGTATTTCCACACCTCAGTGATTCTGAACAAAATTGTATTTCTGTACACATGGCCCTCACAATTTAAGAAATATTGCAAGGAACACCCAAGCATCTCTGAGGTGTTCACCATGTTCTCCACAGCCACACTGGTAGCTTTGTGTCTTGTGTTCATGCACTAATTCATAATTAAATCTCATATATAGAATGGTAGAGGTATGGTAGAGGTATGAAACCTAGTTTTTGGTTGTCTGTCACTATTCCTCATAGCACCTGGGGGGACATCTCTTTCTCCTTCCCTTGCCCAGGTTGCAATGTGCATACATAGTCGCAAACCAGAGAAGCACTTGTGATGAGCTCATGCCAAGATGTCAGTCAAGGACCTGGGAAACTTGCCAAAAAACCTGTCCTTGTGTTAGGCTAATTAACTCTTGGCATATTTGTAATTGTTCCTATTAGTTAGGGGCACTTGTTAGGAGCAGCATCAAAAAGATGGTGGCAAGGAACCAGATGAAAGGGAACTTTAGGGACTTCCTGTATTTGAAAATGTAATAAAAGTATTAACCAGAACTACAAAAAGCTTGGCAGAGCACTCAGCACAGTCAAACCTTTGGTGGTTAGCATCACTTCAAGTTACTGCTATGTGTAAGATTGAGCAGCTGGCAAGATTGTGAATGTGACCATCCCTCTTCTCACCCAGTTCTCTGTGTGGTGCCAGGTAGCATATGCTGTAACATCATGGAATTCCCCATGAAGACGTGCCCTCAAGTTCTAGGCAACTGTTAGTGACAGTTGTAAAAAAGGCATCATGATCACTTTAGTGTCCTGACCTGGCACAAATGCTGATGGCAGATGCTGGTGGCCTCTGGTAAGGAAATAGCTGTTTGCTCTGGACAAATTTACTGGGAAAAAAAAAAAGGAGCATCAAACTCATTTTCTATTGATGTGTGTGTGAATCAATTCCAATCTACACAAAGCAAAAGGAAATGGGCTATGAACATGGTAGATGAACATTTTAGTTTATAAGACACCAATAAGATCACAAATCATTATGATCATTCCTTGCCCTTTATAATTACAGTTGTGAGTTTGATTCCAACCCCAGTGAAGTCAAAGCAAGGCATACATTGATTTCAGTGTGGTTTGGACAGAATGAAAGATAAAATAATCTTGTGTATATCCATAAGGCAAAATGTATAATATGCCCCAAGAGCTTTCTTCTGAAATGTTAATGCAAATGAGTAAGTCTCCTCACATGGACAGTTCCACTGCATGAAGACATGCAGCTGCTTACTCTACCCACCCCTTACAGCTGCAACCCAGATTCTGTTTCTTGACTCTCATCTTTGGTTATTTGTTTGTAGCTTGAAAAGTAATGTAAGTATTAATACAGAATACGAACAGAAATGAGTCAATTTATAAATGACTCTCTTCTCTGAATGTTGCGTAGAAATTTATAACTTAAGGCACAACAGATATAGATATGAAATTAACTGCCCTCTTGTGTGATTCACTAAACATATTTCCACAAAAGCAAAACATAATCATCTTTCACTCATTACAGACATATTTTTTTCTGACCGTACGAGAGTGTCCCTGCTTAGGCCTTGCTCTGTACTTAACCCACCTTTACAAGCATGGTACGCTCTCAGTAGCTTGCTGCTGGCTCCCTGAAGGCATGTTTTCATGGAGGTTTTTTTCAAAGCCTGACCAAACTGTTGCATGACTGTCTTTTATTACATGTTCAGCTGGGTCAGAATTCCAGTACGTGCAACAGTGACATCAGAAATGCCAATAAAATTGAAATGTAAGGATAAATATGCTCGTAGTAGAAGGAGTCAGCCCTAACATTAGGGTGTGTTGCATATTCATTCAAAAATGATAACTCACCACACACAGAGAATATAACATGACTTTCATGAACCATGGAAACAGGGCCTGTTATTGCCCTGCATGCAGATTAGGATCTAGAAGAAAATTCACAGTAAATTTTCTGGTGTCTTTAGTGGGTGGCATTTCTTTAAGAATCTCTGCTTTCTTTCTCCTCTGTTTCCTCCAAGACATGGCTCATATTTTATATCTCAGAAATAACAGACAATGATTAAATTTGTATAAGGTGATTTTTTAATCTTAGATATGAAAAAAAAAAGCACAGAAAACATAGTATTTCAATTTTTTTCCCACTCCTGTTTCATGACTCGTATTTGTTATACTCAATCACTTCCATCAGTGTAAGACTGACTGCTATGGCATGGTGTGTTATAGGTAGATAAAAGAAGCACTGTTGTCATTATGTTTAAGAAGTCAGGATTATCAGGAGTCACAGAGATTAAATTTAACCCTTTCTAAAGTGACTTGACAGCTACACAACTTAATGCTTAGATTATTTGCATATGCAGTAGATGAGTACCAACCTTTTGAAACAGAATCAAGCTGAGACAACTTTAATTCTGAGAGATCTGCCTCACCCATTCAAACCCTGTATTAATTGGTCTTAAGCCAGCTCTCATGATTTGAGAAGGCAATATATTCATTGAAATCACTTTCCACAAGTCAGTACTTCACCTCTTGGTGTCTCTGATTGGTATTAAAAAAAAAAAATTAAGGACACAGCAAAAAAGGGAGTTTTACTGAATGAGTATTTTCCACTGAAGCTTGTATGTTTATGACGGAAAATTCCACATCTTTCAGATAGAACTGAGGTTCACTGTAAAGCTTTTTGTATATAGATATATAGAACAGAGTTTGGAGCTCCTTGTGCAAGCTACAGGTGGTACAAATACAGCATTATCACCTTATTTGCTTACTAAAAATTGTTCCTTGATTCCACTTTTTTTTTTTTTGCCTCCAGTCTCATCTGTGCAGTTCCAGTGGTCAGTCCTACTTTGTGAAGATACTAAAAGGAATGGGGAAAAGTAATGACAGAGCTGGTGACATCTCTGAGGCCTCTAAAGTGGATCCATAACCCTGGTGGAGCATCCTGCCCTACCAAAACTTTTAGAAGCAGTGCTGTCCCACATCTATGTATTTGGGCTCAGCCCAGAAACCTTCAGTGGAATCTGGGAGAAGAATATTGGGTTTCTACTGATTTCAAAGGAGCCCATCTTTCAGGTAGATGAAAGACCTGTAAGTCTCCTGGGTCATGACAAAATTATGCTGCCCAAAACCCTCTTCTGGAGGGTAATAGGGAAACGTGGGACTGCTGTTGAGGAAGCATGGTGTTACTGTGCTATGTTTCATGTAACTCAGTAAGATTCCTGCCACATGAGTCCTATAAATGTCATTGCAAAGTTATGTGACTAAATCCTCCTGCAAAGGCTTCAAAATTTACTAATTTTATGTCACCTTCATGAAGTCTGTTGTGGTTTAACTGGGTGTTTATAGATAATGTGAGAAAGACTGCTTCATAAAGTAACCCAACCTTTGTGAAGTGTTATAGCACAAGCAGAGCTGTCACAACACTGCTGTGACAAATCAAAGCCTAATGAGTGAATGAAAAGTATTATGGTATATAGGTATATAAGGTATGTCCCAAACCAGGGTAACTCATTATTATAGCTGTCCTGCTTACACAGTCAGGAGTGCTCTGTCCCTGTTTCCCAGGTTAAAATGACATTTTTTTTTTCATTTCCTTAGAGCCAACACTGCACTTGAACAGTAATATCCATATCTCATCTGCTGTCAGAGTGGGCTGCATTCTGCTAGACTGTCTGTACCTGCTCTGCTCGGGTGGCACTGAAAGCAAGCTGGAATTGCTCTCTACCGGTTTTCCCTCCCCAAACTGCTGTGGAGATCAGGTTGAGCTGCCCTACAGCTGAATGGACTGCAGTGTGAGGGGTGAGTGAACGTCATGCAAGCTTGTCCTGGCTTGGATGCGCATGTGCTTGCTGTGACACTGCACCTCTCTCTTTCTCACTTCTTCCATTCCTCTTAAGTCCAGCTGGTCTGAAGACAGACTATTAAAAAGGACTGGTCTTCCAACAGACCATACCTTTGTGCAAGAAATGCTACAATTCTCTATACGGGAGTTCAGATCCAGTTTTGTCCGGGTAATCAATACAGAGGTAGTCTAGCCTTGCTTGAGGTGCACATCCAGTAATGGAATGAGAGGGAAAAACATACTCGTTGGCAAGAGAGGTGGAATGGGCCTGAGGTGGGGTTGGTAAGGGATGTATATGTTTGAGGTACCACATATGCAGAGTGTGGATGATGACGTGAGGAAAACTTTTTCCCTTATAGATCTGAGGTGTTTGTAAAGGGATTGTTAGATATACTCCTTCCTATTACCCATAACTGTGTGTAATCATCCGGCTACTAAGTAAAAAAATTTTGTCTGCTCATTTTGTCTGCTATTTTGCAGATTATTTATTCTTTCCCCAGACCATCATTTTCTGTTGCTTAGTGTCTTGTGTAAAAAGTAGAAAGGAAAATCTACCAAATCTTGATGTATCCCCTTTTGCAACAAGAGAAGAGGAGGTGTAAAGCCTCCCAACTGGAAATGATGTTTCCTCTAATCCAAGCTTATTTTGGAAGCATTGGAAGTTCAACCACTCACCTGTAATTGAGAAACTCAATTTCTTTAATGAAAAAGACCTAATTGTGGCTTTCCAAGTACATGAAGTGAGCCTACAAGAAACATAGAGAGGGACTTCTGACAAGGGCTTGTAGTGACAGGACAAGGGAGAATGGATTCAAACTCAAAGAGGACAGGTTTAGATTATATATTAGGAAAAAATCCTTTACTGTGAGGGTGGTAAGGCACTGGCACAAGTTGTCCAGAGAAGTTGTGGATACCCCATCCCTGGAAGTGTTCAAGGCCAAGCTGGATGGAGCTCTGAGCAACCTGTTCCAGTGAAAGTTGTCCCTGTCCATGGCTGGGATGAAAGGTCAGACTGTGCCATCAGTTTGCAAGTGGATTTGTCTGTGGCCACTTTAATCTGCATTAGTAATAGGAAAGGCAGATTTAGTCTGATTTTAATAATTCTTAAAATTCATAAACAGAGGGGAAAAGAGTTTCAGCTATTGGTCAGTGAGGTCCATGACCCAAGGCACAGCTTAAGACTGCCCCAAAACTGTCCCTTTGACCAGAAAAAGGAAACAAGCTAACAAAAATATGCTTTATGTTTATGAAGTTCAAAACCTTGCTGCTGTGGAAGCTTTTAACTTACTCTTTTGTTTCCAAATGCCAGCAGGCAACCATAGCTATCAATTTCTTTGCATCCTATACAGTTGTATTATGTGTAATTAGAGGAGAGTGGCAGTTAAGGGGTTAGTTCTCCCCTGGGACACTTCAATGGGAGCACAGGCTCCCCTGATTCGTGTTTCATCCTTAATTGCTTTTGAAATTACTTTGATGTGTGTAAAACTATCTGTTTCATGTGTCATGGAATCATATTCTTGCTTCAATATATTGCTCCTTATTTTTGGGCATAGAGCAGTGAAGTTTTGCATACAGAGTTATCTTGCCAAAAGGAAAAAATAAAAAGAAATCTGTAAAACTACCTAGGGAATACATTTTTGCAGTTAGCAGCATACAACTGAACTGCCATAGTGAAACAACAAAATAACTGTGCTATCATGGTTCTACTGATGGGTAAAAGAAGAAAATAATCTAAGAGCTCTGCCCTGCTGTTCCTCAACAAACTTCTTTTAAACTAAAAATAGTTCATTCGGAATGATCTCAGTTATTGAGGTATGAAGCAGAGAGACCTATTTTGGGAAATTAAACAGTTAAAATGACTTGTGGATTGTCAATACAGTACACCTAAGTTTGCAGGTAATGAATCCCTGGGCACAGTCCTAGGCTTTTAGTACTTTTGATATGGCAGGGTTTTTCTTGGGGTTAGACTGTAGTCAGGGGCAATTCAGGATTGTTCTAGATGTTTTCCTTTTTGGACACCTGCAGTCCTGTGCTGTTAATTCTTGATATGGGAACAGGGAGGCTGGCATGGATGAGGTAAGACTACAGCCCACTGTTGTGCTCCTCCACCTTGAATGACGTATTTCTGAACAGCCTCTTTCCTGGCGAATTGCTATACTGTAGGAACACTTATATCAGTGCCAAATGTAGAATCCCCACAGGGACTAGAACAGCATGGGAGTAATACCTAATTAAAACTGCAGTGAAGTAGGTCAGATAATATTTCACAAACAACAGCAAGTGTTCTGATTGTTAATAGTTTGGAGTCCCTGTATTTACTCTGAGCAACAAAAAAAATGTATGTTGCCTAGAAATGCGATGAAAGCGCAAGCTGAAAACACTTGCCACGGTGGATTACAATTCTAAATATTCATGATCTCCAATGGGTGCTGCACCTTAATTCTTGCCAGTATATTCAGCAGTGGATTAAGGTTGTTAGCCCCCTCTTTCCCCAAGATTGCAGGAGGATTGCCAAAACAGAGTGAAGTATTGCCAGGTGAAAGAGTAGATGAGAAAGCCCTGCTTTCACTCACAAAAAATAAGACCATTGTAAGGAAATATAATCCCACTCTCAGATACCACAATTGCTCATAATGTTGTAAGACTATTTTCAGAAGTCCCAAATTCAGACTTCGGCCAAATCTTCTGGGTCTTACTGATCTGCAAATGTAAGTGAGATATGATCCTTTTCTCTGAGATTCATCACCTTTTTGACCTCGTCTCAGGGTGGAAGTAGCAAGAAAAGTAGCAGCATTTTCAATTTTACTGCGATCAACGAAGTTCAGTGACAGATGAAAATTTGTAATAATAGTATTCAAAATGTTAAAGTTTTTAAACTCTCAGAACATTCACTATTTGATTAATTGTGTACTATGATTAACTAAACAAAGAAATGTCTAGAGGCTTCACACAGGCAGAGGACCCCATTAAGATGGAATGTAGAAAGCACTTTGCATCTGACCATCTGTGCCTCAAACTCTTGCAATTTGTCCAAAAGAGCTTCATATGAGAAGCAGGTTCCCTCACTTACAGCTGCTACTGTGAGCCCTTGTTTCAGGGAAGAGCCCTTTTTGAGCAGAACACAAGTCTTTGATGTGAAAAAATGCCCTAAACATTTATTTTCATTTATAAATACTAACAAATCAATCTAGGACAAGGCATCAGAAGTTCTATATATCAATATAGATATATATATATCTATCTATATATATCTGTATGCATATTCACAGGAAGCAGACAAGAGGCTTACACAGTCTGGATTTACCTCTACCTTTTTAGCTGGGTAAACAAGTAACTTAATTTCGTGGAGCTGTTACATGTAAATGCAGTTCGTTCAGGAAAGACCTCCTTGTGCTTTTCTTTGCAGGAGGTTTTTAGGCCTCTCTGCAAACCTGGTGGTTTGGTTGAAACGTGAAGTTTTGGAGCCTGATGATTCTATCAGCCAGCTGATTTTGTGGTTGGCTTGAAAAGTTTTTCTAAAGCAAAAAAACCCAAACAGAAAAAAAAAAAAAAAAAAAAAAGAGTTATCTTTGATGACATGAAGGCCTGACTTTGATCTCTCTCCTGCTAGGCACTTGATTACTCTATTTAAATGATGCAGATTCCCTTTGGAAGTAAAGGGCTATTGAATCTCAAAGAAGCCATGACATGTTGGAGTTTGTTGCATTCTTGAAGTGAAAGGGGTCCTATATTTTACCGAATCCATGCCTTAGCCTGGAGTGACTCTGCTGATGTGGCAGCTCTTGGATGGGGACTGAAACTCCTAAGAGGTGGCATGAGGGTGTGTTTTAAGTTAAAAGCAATCAAAACAGCCTGTGCTGGGGATGTACTCTTTCCCCTCCTCCCTGTATGAGCTGTAGATTTTCTTAGTGCTGATCTGATGGGCTGTTCTCTACATCTGGTACAATGAGTGGCACTTTATTACATTAGGTGATATAATTGAAGTAAATGTGGCATGAGTCATCCAAGTGGTTATATATGCAGAGGAGGAAGGCTTTAAAATTAAATCTGTGAGGAAAGACCTACAAGGAATATAGGTGATTTTTTACACTGCTTTTCTTTATGTTGAGAAACCCTTACCAGGGAAAAGGGAATTTTGCTAGAAGTCAACCAAGGGATTTGCCATCTCCTTCATGACCTCGAAGTTATAGGTTTAGGAACTCTCCATTCCTGCAATATGTGGCCTGCAAAATAAGGAGCTGGGTTAGATTACTATCCAGGCAGAAGACTGAAACCTGCCCACACATATAGAGACTGGGTTGTATTTGCTGTCAGAAAGTGGAGGCCATTTCTTCAGGACTGAAAGAAGTCCTTTACTTGTCAGGGACTGGCCTTGACCCTGCAAAACTTGTACAAGATTGCATATGTGGCAAGAGGTTGGATATAATACCATAGGGAACTTCTGCAGAAAAAAGACCTATTCTCTGAAATATGGTCAGGAGAGGCAGGAAGCATAAGCTAAAGAACTCAGAACATGCAGTTTCAGGTACTCAGAACAAGGAGTTTCAGGCAGGTACAAACACTGCAAACAGCTGAGTAGGTGGACATCTTGGGAGCGTTGGTAGTTTAGATTTTGGCAGCAGTTCAACAAGGATTTTTTGAATCACTCTTTGAATTCAGAAGCCTCAGTGTACTTGTGTCTTCTTTTAGAAGATGAAGCCTTACAATGGACTTAGTCCTGAATCCCTCTGAGCTTTGACTCATCTTTAAAGTGATGACTACAATATGCCTGCTGCCGTGGCTGTAGTGTAGTGCAGGCAGGTGCTAGCACACAGCATCACTGGAACTCCAAATTGCTCATATAAATACAGTAACAGTTCTTGCAGGATCTCAGGGCTGAAGTATTTATATTTAGTTAAAATGACCCACATTTTAAGTGAACACGACTGAACTATTCACACACTAATGAGAAGAAATCACCTCGGCCAATCGCGGTATGCTAGCCATCGTGCCTGTTTTATAAATGAGATTAATGACTCAATTTGCAGTAAATGCTTCAGCAAGGAGAAACTTATTTTGCTATACTAATTGTGTCACATATGTGCCTCAAAACACCAACTGTGCAGAACTGTATTTCCCTGTGGTGCACAAGATGGCTGGCCTTGGTGGTTTTATTAATGCCGTTGCTCCGATTTCTTTGCTGCAACTGATCATTTTGATCTTTGTGTTTAGTGCTGCAGCATAAATGCTGGTGATGGTAAAAATTATTGTGTAGTGTAATCCTCTCCATTAGTGAAAGGACAAGAGTCTCTAACATCAGCTGTTCAACATTTTTTTTCCTGGCTATCATGAATAAAACTCCTGGTGTTATTTACTTAGGCTTTCAATTAGTTTTTAATTGTAATGAAATGATGAATAATTGCCAGAACCTTTAATTTGCTCAGTAGTTACTGTGATTTTAATGGCTTTTTAAAAAACTTAAATGTTGTCCATTTATAGGGTATACTATATTGCTTTAAATGAGTAAATGAATTCAGAGTTTCATCAAATTAATCATTACACCTACTTTTGCATTTGTTCCCATGTTCCTAACAGGTTTGTTAATGTAAGTGTGAGAAAACAGGATTTGCTGACCATGGACCAACATCCACAGTGGGTATAAATTAACCTTGCCACACTGAAATCTGTAATATGCCTTATACCAGCTAAAGCTCTGCCTCAATTTGTTCATTATCATCCTTTTATTCTGGTTTTGATGTTGGACAAAATTGTCCTGACATTTTTCAATATTTTTAACCCATTGTAGTTTTGATGTCAGTGGAATTACTCAGAACTCACAGTGGGGTTAATAAGAGAATTGAAGGGATTTTCTTTCCAATGACAAATTTAAAATTCCCCTCCCAACTTTTGTATATAAATATATTTGCTGAGAAGTGTAGAGTAAGTTTGAACAGTTTGTTTGCTGTAGAATTATCTTTATAAATCTGTTTCTATGCTTCATGCTTTGTTAAATGTGCTTCAGATTTCAGCTGAAACTATTAGCAGTTGCTAGATACAGAGGGAAAGGAGAGTGTTTGCTTAGTTTTGTATTTTCACAAAATATTGAAATGAGGGGTACTGCCCCACTGTCTGGGGAACATGTGCATTTCCAAGGTAGTCTATAAAAAAGTCCGAAGTAGACACTTGTGCCTTTGAAGCCTACGAAGCAACTCACAGTTCAAGAGCAGCCTCTCTGTTGCCCATTCTGAAAAACACTCTGAAATATTGTCTCAGGTTCTTTATTGAAAGTCAGCATTCCCCTCAGCTTCATCCTACTCTCCCCACGCTCAGCCTCGTGACAGCAGTAAAAATGATTAGTTTTTGCTCTGTTATATTTAGGTGACAGTCTTGGACAATAAACTGTATTACTGAGTTCAGGGGCTTTCACCAAGTGTGTTGTATGGCCTATAGACAGCCCTGGAGATGGTGCATGGACAATTCCCTTCTGTACAGTAGTTTATGACTGAAACACAACTGTAAGGATGTACCTGGCTGTGCTCATCATACCTGTGTCACATACAGCTGTGGAGCAGTGCAGTTGGTCATCATAGGAAATACGACATTCCTAAGATGCAGCATGGACCACTGTCAGGGTGGTGCAGTGTGTGTCCTCTACAGCCTCATTGTGATGATCTCTGAAGCAAAGAGGTTATGGAATTTTAGAATTTGGTAAGCCTCTTTGTGAGTAAAACTTTGGTTGTGATATGTAGTATGTTACCTTGCTTTATGGAGGAGCTTTACAGTCTTGAATATTGCACTCTCAAATTTGTTATATACTACTGTGCATGGTTAGTAGGCTTCCCCTGCTTAGGAAGCCCCCATGAAGGAAGAGAGAACTATATTAACATGAACCCCCAACCTCTGACACCGTCAGTATGGCATCAGGTGAAAATGTTTCACAGAAATACCATATACTGCTAGTGTAATATTCTGACTGCCTTCTTACAGGAACAGCTTTCCACTGAAAGGTTTTCCTTGTCAGGGTGTGTGTGGTTGTGTGCTGACCTAACCGTTCTCTGGTGGTGGAGGGAGCTCTCAGAATATAAAGGTAACTTTAAAAATCATATGATACAGTGATTACTTTGCACCATCTTTTTGAACTCTTAATTCAAAATGCTTGGTGTGGAGAGAGCTGATTGCCAGTGGTGTAAAAGAGAGATTAAAGAATGTGGAAGTAAGAATTTACTAAAGTGACTTGGATAAGTTCCTCTTAGTATTTTACCTCACTAGCTCCCATCTTCTGCTTCTATGCCATAGTGGGAGAAGATCTGCATCCCCAGATCAGCATATGGATTTTTGTTCCAACACTTCTATCTCATATGTTAACAACAAGGAGATGGAGATAAAATACAGTGCTGTGCTGAGCTGAGGAGTGTGTACTTTGTGCTCTATCTGCTGCCTTATACAATGCATTTTTCTCTATCATGTAACCCCATCCTGGAAGACGTGATTTGATTGCAGCAAGGTTGCAACTACCTTCAGAAAGCATCCAGGTCAAGGCTAATCTTGGATTACTGCTGGAATATGCTAGTTAATATAATGGTAAAAGCAATATAAGAACTGAGATAATTGATTAAAAGAGTTTTTATATTGTTATTGCATGGTAAATGTACCTCTTTTTAAAAAGTGCAGGCTTGGCAACTAGGGCTCTTTTTATTTGCATAGAAATATAGATGCATAGCATAAACAAATATACCAGATTTCTAATACTCAAAAGTCTTGTGTTCTTGTCATAGACTATCAGGAGAGAAAAAAACCAAAATCCAGATGAATTGATAATCCCTTTTCTCTTTTTGAATACTTTTATTTAAGCATTATGTTATTTTTCCTACAAGGCTTGCAGCCGTAGCTGGCAGTCTTCTCTCTGTTAGTCTCTGTGGTTTGCTTTCCTATTTCCTATACATTTTTTAGCTGCTGGGTGGATGCTATTATGGCACATCCAACCTTTGGTATAAATAATTTATTCTGAAGGTTCAGTATGTTATAACGTGCATGAAGCATCTTGCATTTATTTTTAATGCTTCTGCTTTCCTGAGAGCTTTCTACATCCAAAGCTACCATCAGAGAGAACTGTCAATCTTCCAGCAGAAGAGAGAAACTTTTAGACCATATCATTTTATTTTTCTAGCTATAAATCATATGCTTCTGGTGAAGAGTGGAGTAAACGGTTATTATTAACCATTTTGAAGAACTTGGCTTGGATGATATGAAAATGTCTGTTTGCATCTGGTGTGAAGTCTCTGAAAGTGACTCCCGGTGCCCATAAGCATGTGAACTGTGTGCCGATCCCTTGTGGGAGACCGGTGAAATCAGGGAAATACTGAAGGGCAATTGGGTGACTGATAGATGTGAGTGCTAAAAACATAAAAAGAGATCTAGCTGGGGCAGCAGTAGCCAGGTGTGGCTTGCTACCAGAGCACACCTAGGGGACGAACCTACCCCATATGACTGAGGGAGAGATGGTTCAGTCCAATGGGGAAAGGGGAGCTGATCCCTGCAGTAGTGGTGAGGATGGTCATAGCTATCCATGCAGACAAATTGCTGTTTGCTCCCTTCTTTCCTTCATGGTTCCTTCATAAACTTCAGCCAACACCATAAGCTAGGATTTACAAATGTTCAGGAATTATATTTTAGACAGGTATTATTTAACAGAAACATTAATGGTGATGGGAGGCTGTTCTTTTTGGGGGGGGGAGAGGGGTGGAGGGACAGGGGGTTGGTAGGGTTTTTGTAGATATTAGAAGTTTTTTTGGTATATGATCCTTGAGTTTATTCTGATTTAACACTAAAATTATGTTCTGATTTAAAACTAAGCAAATTTGCCTTATGTGAGATGTGTCAAACATGTTAGTTAAATTAATATCTACCTTGCCTACAGATAACACAGAGAAAGGCACAGGAGTGCAAGAGACATGGTTACTAGTAGCTTCCCCTGAAAACTGGAGCCTGATGCTCTTTAGTGTTTCTATTGACATGCTAGACAATGATATCGTCTTGTGATTTGCAGACTTTCTCAGAAAAGAGGACTGGTAATAGAGCGAATAATGTCCAAGAGAGATTGAAAGAGGATGTGAAACTTCTGGAGTGAAATCAATGGATAGATTCAACAATGATAAAAGGAAATGTTCCGTACATTCTCATTTAGCATGTGCAGAGACTTAACTATTTGTTAGCCTTTTAAGAGGCTTGCGTAATATGATGCAGTGAAACTGGAATTGAGCCTTTGGTAGTTTATAACAGATTTTTGAACCATTTGCATGCACAAGTCTCTTCAATGACAACATTAGCAGGGGACTTCATGGCTGAAAATCAGTCCTAAAACATGGAAAGTGCTATGACAGCAACTGTTACAAGGTATATCACAGTTCAGTAGCTGGAAGGTGAAGTTGAACTAATTCAATTTCAGCCTAAGAGGGAGCTTTCTAGGCACAAGGAAGGAGAAGGAACAAAGAAGGTACTTCACAGGAACAGGATAATTAAATGCTGAAATAGTTTACCTGATGAGTGGACACAAAAAGTCTTTCAAATTCATTCCACAAAGAATTTTAGTCTGTACTGACTGTGTAGATTATTGAGGAAGAAAAAATTTTCTGTTTTGGTTTTGTGTGTTTTGGTTTTGTGTTCTGCTAGTTACCGTATCTTGTACTTCAGTCAATTTTCTACAGGCCTTAAAGAGTGTGGTTTTAAATTTTTTAATTTTTAATTTTTTTTTTTCTCTTCTTAAATGCACAACTAGAGAGAGGTAATCAGAGCTGGAAAGAGGCCAGAACCCCAAATGTGGATGGCTATGGATGGGTGCAGCTCAGTCCATTCTTGTTTCATAATTCTTACCTTCCTAAGAATGATGGTATTTCTGGTGCATGTCCAGGACCAAACTCTAATCTATTTTAATGAGAGTTTTTGGGTCAGTGAATGGGCTGTGCTTTTCAGCAGATCAGACTATACAACATAATGGTCTTTTCAGGTCTTAGCATTAACAAATATATCTAGTTCAGCCCACACCAAGCACTGCTGTGCTTGTGTTGTTAATTTGCATTGGCTAGTACTAACACATTTCATGAAAATGTCAGTGCTGAGCAGTACCATGAACTAATGAAGTTGCATTGGAGTTAAAGGTGTTACATCCACTTAAATTAGTTGAGAATTTGGTCTGCAGCATATGATATCTAACATGGTATTGAAAAAACTAAAATCCCCAAACAGCGAGTGTTATAGGATCATAACTGTGTTCCCCCTAAAACAACAAATTCAAGTACTCTGTCAAGACTCCTTAAAAAAAATAAATTTCCACACAGAACTTTAAGTTTAATGACTTCTATATACTGTTTCTGCCAATACTGTTCTTGCCTTGACTTGGCTGAACCACCAAATTGAAACTGGATTTTTTTTTCTTTAACCCTTCTGTAGACCAGGTCTAATTAATTCATAGATTTGTTTTTTGCTTTGTTTCTAAATTAACTTTGGTTTATTTACTCTGGACTTGTACTGGACTGAATGGAAACAGAATCAAGTCTGGGGAGTTGAGCTTGATTTTTAGATATTTGTAGCTGGCTACAAACAAATTGTGAAAAATTAGGTAGAGAATGATATTTGAAAATGTGGAATTACTTTAAAGTTTTTTCTTTTTATTAAGCATTGTTTCCAAGAGATCAATCTTTTAATTACACTGTGCTTTCTTCCCAGTGATGAGAATGGATAACAGTAAGCCTGACAGCACTGACTACCGTCTTCTCTGCAGCATGTGAATGCTATGAAATGTGCTGGTTCCAATATATAACGCTTTTATTCACTGACTGCATATTTCTCTAAGTGTATCAGTACTTTCTAAATATACCAAATGACTTACTACTTGGAACCCATTTCCCTATGCCTGCAAAGCCACTAACAGTCTAAGTCAAAAATGAACTACTCTGCTAGGCCTTTGCTTTCTGTGTATTTGCTGTGCTTTACTTGCCTCTGGCAAGTTACAAATGAGAGTAAGAAACAGGACTTTTTGAGAGAAAACAAGCCACTGCCTTATAAAAAAGGAACAGTAAATAGGCTGGGTAAATAGTCCTTCCCATGCTGAATTAAATACACCTGCAGTCCTGCACAAGCCATTCGTAGCACATTATGGGCCTGATTTTTCCTTTACTGTGCTGCAATGATTTTGTTGAAGTCCATGGGCCTGGTTTTGTAAAACACAAATCTCCAAGTCTACCTGCTAGCACTGCCTGCTCTCTGAGCCTGTGAGCTGCCTGCCAGCTTTGATTTGGGAGCAGTTTGGAGACCAGAGCATGCCCAGCAGCTGTCAGTGAACAGTCATGCCTAAAAACTCTATCATTGTGGCAGTATAAAACTTCCTTATGTTCTGTAACTGGATAGTATGCAGTGGTGTGAGGTTCACTGGTGCCATGACCAGTGAGTTGCACAAGTGTGACTATGGAGTACACACTGATAAATCCAAGCCACTCCTTTATAGACTGCCTGTCTTTATGGGTACCACAGCTGTTATGGATAGCAAAGCAGTTATGAGTGATCATACACAATGGTACAGTACAAACCTACTGGTTAGGTACTAGCTTTGGTGCTGGGATTAAGTTTCTGGAAAGAATAACCTTTTTAGGAGATAATAAATATTCACCAGACTTGCCTGCATATCAAGTGTTTGAAGTGCAGAAGCTGTGTACACATTGCAGGAACAACCAGGAAGCAAAAAGTTTTTTAAGTAATCTGGATATCAAATGTAGGTAACTTCTTCTGACATAAGAAAAATCTAGATCCTATAGAAATCCCTAGAGAAAGCTGTGGTTAAATCAGCAGAATTTACATGCAGATAAAATTGCTTAGCCAGCTGCACCATTTTCCTAGCAGCACCAGCCTGGTCCTTGAAGTTTATTGCCTACTGCTGTGTGTTGAGTTCCAATTGTCAGATTAATGTACTTTTAAAACAGCGAAGCTCCTACATCCCTGCTCCAAAGACAGGCAGTAATTTTTCTTTTCACAGCTTTTTTGGAAGAGGCAATACACATATATGCTGATTGAACTATTATTGATCCTTTCTATTATTCACATATCACCTTGTGTTTCTGTATAGGTTTGCATAAGCTCAGATTTATATTAGTCTAACTGTTGGCCTAAATATACTGCTGAGGGTCATCCCAAATGGATTACCATATACCCCATGGATGAAGATATTTTGACTGTTAAGTCCTGGTGTCACATATAGCCTATATCCTTAGTTCTGTGCAGGGAAGACAACTGACTGCAAGTGTCCTACAACACACAAACCACACCCCAAAACAGACCTTGCTCAGAAGACTGTGCTTTACTTGTCTTTTCAGTTCTAGCACTTTGTGGAGGAGGTGCAGAATAGCCCCAAGCCTTGTGGTGTTCAGCTCTGCCAGGCTAGACAGGACAGACACTTCAGGACATTTTTCATACCCACTTCTCATTTAACAGGACGTGAGCCAGCTGGCGTCTCTCCTCTGCGGCCTTGTCAGCAAGCCTCTTGTTCCATCCTAAATCTATTATGGCCCATTTTCCCTTGACTGAGTGTTCAGTTTGTTGCTGCAGTTGCTACGCCTCAGAAACAGCCCTCCTCTGGTGTTATGGATAACCTTTTCCTCTGTCAGTATCCCTGTGAAGGTGGTGTCTGCACCGTTCCAATGGCCTTTGATGGCAGCAAGCTTTATTTATTATATTATCCCTCACATGATACAAATTTTAAGTCTTGGACTCCCCTATGTCTCTGTGTACTGTAGAGCTTTTCTCCCCTCTGCTGTATTATTATTATTTGAACCTCTGCCTCTTGTTCCCTCTTTGAGACCCCATTCAAGACCACCTTTGCCCTCTTAAACTGCTGTCCTTTAAGTTTCTGATGTCCCTTCTAACCCAGCGAGACATAAGTAGGAAGAAAGGGGTTTGTCCCAATTTCTGTTTTAAAGAATCCAATCTAGCAGGAGCAGAAACTGAGGTCTTTTTACAGGAGTTTCAGAGCCAAGCACCTCTGACCGGTAGTAGAGCAAGGATCTCACTTGGGGTTTATCCCTTTTCTAATGAGGTTGTTATTGATGAGGGTGTTGATACAGTGAGCATCTAATGTTTTTTGGTCGTCAATCACCCCTCATAGCTTGCTTTAATCTAGCCATGGAACTGAAATTCTCCAAACACCATATGATTCATGGACACCTGTAGTCAGCTAGAAGTGTCAAATGATTTAGCACTGCCATCACTTGCTATTAGGTCCATGATCATCCGTGTGTGTAACACGCTACAGCTGGAAAGAGCAGAGTGACCTAAAGGGCAGACTTTAGGAATACGAGAGCAATAAGAAAGTGATTTATGCCTGGGACCTCTACCCTTTGGCTGTACCAGTGCATCCCCAGCACCTTATTTAAAGCAGGTGGTGCATGCTCCAGGTGGTAGGTGGGAATGGGGACCCTGAGCAGAGAGCACGTGAATTGTCAGTCACAATTGTGTCCTCACCTTCAGCATGAGGATCCATGTAATGAGGACTGAGCACCTGACCTAGCCAGTCAAGCCTCTCGGTGCCAGAAGCTAGGAGGCAATGAGGCAGCAGCAAGAGCTGTCTGCCTTTTGTCTCTGTTACAGCTAACAGGTTTTATGCCTAAGGAAGGAATAAGAGAGCACTTTATTTAAATAGTGTATTATATAGCCTTGTGTCTGTATGTGCTTGCCCATATGTGGGGACGGCAGCCTTAGGGGGAAGTTATTTTCACATCTGATGAAAATAACTGCTTGTGTGCCAATGAGCTTAGGTAATTCTTAACTAAAACAAAAGCCAGTCTATATAGAAGACTAACCACTAGTATTTAAAAAAATTGCAGCCCCTCGGCTGCCCATCTTGTGTACACATGTCTTTGAAGCATAAGAGAGGTAAAGCAATTCCCATCTTGCCCTGGTTCTCTGCATTAAGGGAACTTGAGAATAGGAAATGGCTTCTAGAAATGTGGAGCTCGCCAAAAGACAGACTTTCCCATTAATGTCTATGAAATGATTTCTAGTTTCATAATAAAGCCCTCTGCATAATTCTTTGACTATTTATACATCTCATAAAGATTCTGCCTGCATGGAATGAAAAGAAAAAGGGGAGACGGCAAAAAAAAAAGACGGGAGGGAGAGGGAAAAAAAACAGAATTAATCAGATTACTTTTATACTGGGGAACTTAGAATGAGTGTACCCTGTCCTAGAAAAGAAATGGTTGAAACCGCATCATATTTATTTCAGTAGTGCGGATGAGGGATGGCGTGTTGTATTACGTTCTGTGCTTCATACTGCATTTTCTCCCTCTGCTGGCAGTTGGATACAGCAAAGTTGTAACTAATAGAAAACAACAAAACTCTCAAAAGGCTGAAGCATTTAGGAGTCTCAAAACTCTGTGGTATATGCTGAAAAATTAGGTCGTACCATACTTGAGTCCAATTAGTGCTGGAAATGGCTGACAGTCACGCCATGTACAGAGCCGAATAATTCCTACAGAAGATTAGCACAGCTAAGTGCAACCCTCTTTCCTTTGGAGAGACAGCAGAGAGTCTCACTTGGTAATGTGACAATAAATATAGACTGCATAATCAAACTTGGAAGTTAGTTATAATTTTTTTTTAAGGAACTACTTCAAGTCTATAATTTTAGAAATAGTATTTCTTGGCTTTATGTTACAAAAGCATTCTGTGTACTCCTGCAGGTTACTGATTCTTTGCTTTGTTTTATTTTTTTCTTTACTTTCCTTTGAAAATATTTCTATAATATACAGACCTAAGGGAAAAACATTGCTAAAGCAGTTGTAAGAAAAAGATTCTGTACTATGTATTATATAAAAAAAAGGAATTAATTTTGTTCCAGTGAAGTTCTTTAAAACAATGGGCTTCTAAATAAATTAAAGCTTACTGGTAGTATATATTTATTAAAAATAATACTGCCCTATAGGAGAAAATAAATGTTACAGACTTACTTATAAGGAATAGCTAGAAAATAAGAATATAATCTTGACTATAATAGAGATACTACTTTCTGCTCCATAGGACTGGGGTATTAACCTTGCAAATTACATTATACTAATGACTACGAACCATAAACTATAAATCTCAGAAATATATATCGACCTGGCATGCAGATGTTTATATATTCCCTGTAGCAAGCCTGAATAACTAGCATTGAATTAATAGCACTAAGCTTTTTAACTATTCTTTGAGATATCGTAGCAAATATTATAGCCACTTTATGCCTGAGTAAGTGGAGGCAGAAAGGAGTTTGTTTAACAGAGTCTAGGAGTGAAGATTTCTAATCCTACTTTTATTGATACACATATTAAAGACAGGTGGAGATTTTTTTTTCTCTTGAAGGGATGCATTTAGAGCAATAGCTGATGAGGCTTAGAGAAGTAAAGTGCATTTAGCAGGAATTTAGAGGAAAATGCTGACAGATGCTAAGGAATATTCAAGTTAAACAAAGACATTTGTGAGGAGTAGCAATACTGGGAGAATAATTCTGTAGTCAGCAGTAAAGGAGAACTGAGAGCTGCCATGGCAGGCACAGGTTGGGGCTGGGATGTGAGGAGGACTTTTCAGCAGTCTTGTAGCTCAGCTGAAGGAGCCTGTCAAAAGCACAGAAAGTGTACACACACTTTTGTTCCTGAATTGATTACTGTTTTCTTTGTGAACCTCACATAAAGCTTGCTGATGATTCGACAAATGTGCAACTTCCAGAAGAAGTTTTCAGAGTGGACACACAAGACAATAGGATATTGTTATGACTGGATATGTAAATCCTACACATTGAAGAC